TTTGTCACAGGTCTAAGATGAATTTTTTCAATTCACTCCAAATTAGGCAACTATTTTTCCCCATTTTCAAGTGCCTCTGACTTGGCTTCTGCCTTCTTTGCTGTTCTAGCTGTTATATTTTGAGGTGATTGCCATGTTCTGTTAGAAATCACCCAGGCTTAAACAAATTTATCTTTTAGTTGAATTGTAAAGTACTGTAGGATTTTTGTAATGTGGATTGGTAGCAAAACCTTAATTGAATTTCCCTGCTCATAGTCTTGTGTCTGAAGATCTTGACTGTACAGCTCTGTTTCTCTGAGGTAGATTGGCAGGTAGTGCTCTTAGTTTCCATAAGGTTCAGTAAATAAATTTTAATGCAGATTTTATGGAATATTTATTAAATCCATCAGCATGTTTCACTGCATCAAAGACACTTTATTTAAATGAATAGGCATGTTTAAATCCCACGTGCCTGTGAAGTGCATGACTGCCTGTCAAAGAACTGAGTTGGGTTTTAAAACAAAATTGATCTATTAAGTTTTCATTGGCTGTCAGTGTGTAATTGATGGGCTTTTGAAGGTGAGCAGAAGGAGACAGCCCGTGGCTGCTTCCCTGGGCACTCACATTTGTTGGCAATACCTAAAAAAGCAGGGCTATGCACCTGTGTGGAACACAACTGTGTCATTTTCTACCATAAAAAATAAGAGGCAAATGAATTGCTTTGTTAAGGTTTTGGTTCTGGCTCTTCCACTTGCAAATGGACCCATCAAGTGCAGCGCTTTGCCTGGGGAAGGGAAGCCTTGCCCTGCTGCAGTTGTTGTGTCAGCAGGTCCAACAGTCAGCCAAGTTTGACTGCTTCAGAAATAAAGGTAATTTATACATTACACCAATCCCTGAAGGTGATAGAGGCTGGGCTGTTTACAGCCTTGTAAAGGAGACAAAGGCTCTGTATTAACACTCTGTGACTACATTTTAATATGCCCTATTAAAATAGTTTATATATTCTCCAGAGCTGTAGAACTCTCTTAATGTATCTGCACTAACCAAAAAATCCAAAATTCTTTGATGTTAGGAATTAGATTAATGGTATTAGTGTCCTATCCTCCCTGTCCATCCAGCTGTGTGCCCCCCCCGATTCTTTAACATGTTTTGTTGTAAGAATTAATTTCAGCACCCTCTTTTAAAATTATTTTTCTATCTGGGAGATGCAGAAGGTTTCAGTGTGAACTGAATCTTCATCCTGTGGGATGTTCTTTTAAGATTTTAAGAATTCTTTCCAAGTAATTGTCATTTGTATTATCTGTAAAGTAAACCAGAGGTGAACATTAAAATTAAATTAGTTTGCTGTCTGATAAACTGTTTGTTAATGTGTTCTTTGCATAAGATTTGATAAAGTCTGAGTAAAAATGTTGCCTTTTTAATAGTAAAACTCAACCACAGGTGGAGAAGTTCTTTACTAAATACTGATTAGGTTGGTTTTCAAGGAATATTTTATTTTTCTGACCTTTGATGTCATTCTAATTTAATGTTACTTGAATTAAAATGTCATCTTTTTTTATAGTACCTAAAATAGACTTTATTAGTTTTCCTGAAAGCTATGTGCAGCTTTTCTTTGGCCCATTTAAATATTGAAAACAGCAGGATTTGAGATTTTTCTTCTAATCCTCAACTAATAGAGTTTAATGCTTTGTTTGGCCTACCTTGCACAGCCTAAGCAAAAGTTTTAAACAAGATTAAAAATATGACCTTATTAACCCATGACATCTAAAGATACAGAACAGGCCTGCAGGGACATCAGTCATTCCTTAGCCAGGAGAGCATTGGTGCCATTCCCAAACTACTCAGGATGTTCCAGAGGAAAACATTTTGGCAGCCCAGCTTTTTTTCTTTTGTGGTTTTGTGCCAGCACCTGGGAATAAGAAATTGAAAAGGAAAGAATCTAAGTTGAATATTCAGTCTTTTTGGTTGTGGAAAATAAAAGTTAGAGTAGTTCTGGAAATTTGAGGTGCAACTTGGCAGGGTTCCTTTAAAAAAAGGACAATTTTGCAGAGTAGTGGGATGTTTCTTTTGTGTGCTTCACCTCATTAGCCCCTGAGGAAAATGAAGGTCACCTTTTTGGTTTTTTTGGGGGTTTTTTTGGTGAGAAGTTAGAGTTGTTTGTAAGCTGCTGTTGGATGGGTGATTGATGAACATGCTGAGTTCCAGAAGAATAAAGTGTCTCATTGTCATGGAAAGTTTATGTCTAGTAAACATTACAAAACACAAAATGCTGTGATACATTCACTGCTGTGTAATAGGATTCCTTGTTTACTGGGCAGGCTATAGGGCCATGGCAACAACACCAGAAATAGGAACTATGAGTATCCTTGTTGTAAAGATGATGATGGTTATCAAGCACTTTGTTAATTGCTGCAGGTTAACATTTCTCCATACTCATTATCACTTAGTAGTGAGAGGATCAGCCAAGAGGTGTAAATGTGGAAGTTTGACTGAAATCTTTAATTAAAATAAAGAGGTTTGTGGTATGGCATGGAAGAGTCAGGTCAATGTGCACCTCATTGATGCTTTGAGACAATTAATAGCAAGTGTTCCAGGGAAGAGAGAATAACGAGTTTGCTTATAAACAATGCAAACTCCCTAAACTTCTCTTTTTCTAGTGATATTCCAAACAAAAGCAAAACAAGTGCTGATTCCTTAAAAATACTGGTATCTTGCTTGGCTTTTGGTATATCAGTTACCCTTTTGATCTAAACAGGGCAGAATCTGGGTACATGTTCATTAGGTTCAAGATGTGGCTGAAATTTGGAGGCCAAATAAAAGCCAGATAAATTGCTTACACTGTCATTGATAAATGCTTCCTGCTTTCATACCATTATTTACATATTTTTAATAATTAAACATGATTTCTAAAAACTGAAAGCGGATGGTGGTTTTGCAACCATATGTGCAGTACTGAAAAATACATTTGTATTTGTGCATCCTGACTCTTAGTTGTGGAATGGAGAGTTTAAGACCTGGGGCAATAGAAAGCATTGTGGTTAGGAAGGAAGAGGGTGAAAAGCCCTCAGTTTTTTCTCTCTTATCCTGTCTAATTTATTTTCCTTAATTTGGTGCTTTTGGCCTTTCCTGGCTCGCTGCCTTGTTCTCATCAGGGGTGCCAAATCTCTGAAGCAAAAAAAATGGTAATCTTCAGGAATAAGGTAGTCTGTAGGTAGGTAAAGAAATCTAGAAAACAGAATTTTCATCTGATTATTGATCATTCAATTCTCTCTCTGCATCTCAGCTTCACTGACCTTCCTGTCCCTGCCCCAAACTTCTGAGGACATGTGGTCAGTGAGGAGCTGTTGTTTCAGGATAATCACATTTGTGTTTGTTGGAGATGTGCTGCTGATTCAGACCAGTTCCCTACACGGCAGAGTCATCCTGAGCACGATGGTTTGGTGCTGTTTGCTTCCCCTCTGGAAGAGCAGCACTTGCATTGCAGTGGTGCAGCCACAGCTGGGGAACATCCAGCCACATCCTCCACACCTCTGGCTAAAAGGCAGAATAACGTAGGGTTGGCATGGTGGTGTTTTCCTTGACACTGTCTTTTTCAAAAGTTGCATTATTTTTTTCATTTGATAGCCAAAATTCCCACCACTCCTGGATGTCTGTGTCTGCCTTGTTATTGAAGTAGTACCTTTTTTTTTCCCCTGCTGTTCTTCTGCATTCTTGATTGGTGACTATGCTTTCAGTTTCATTTTGATTTTTGGCTGTGAGTAATTATAGAATGGAAGAAGTGATAAAAAGCATTTGCAATATGCTTACTGAATTAACTCCATAAAATGAGGTTTTCAATCTGGGGTCTGTAAGCTGAAAGTGTGAGTTACTCTCTTTAAAAGGGTAAAAAAGGGAGACGCTGTGGTACTTCATAGTCTCTAGGAAAATGTGCTGGAAAATGTTAGTTTTCAAAATGAAAAAAAAAATATAAATGTTGATATAAATATTCCATGATCAGAGTCCTGTAAAAGCAGTTCAATGAAGATTAAAAGGTCACTTTTAAGTCACACAGTTTAGCTGGCTTTTTTTAGTAATTACATGGCCAGCTTGGTTTACCTCAAAGCAGTGATTTTATGCTGTGTACAGCAAGAAATTAATAATGTGAAAAATTTTATCATAGTGCTTTGCAATTAAGTTACAGTTTACAGGCTCAATGCTAGTAGTACTTTTAGGGTGCTAATTCTTGGTTATACCAAATGTTCGATCATTTGATTGCACTGTTTAGCATTGAAATTAACTTGTCAGGTTTGACACAAAATGCAGGAGAAAGGAGCAGAGGCACTGGTTTGCACTGTCCTGCTCCAGCCTGTTTGGCTCGTAAATGTGACTGCAGTTAATCCCAAATGATAGTGCTCATTTCAGGTGGTGTTCTAGCCTACTCTTCTGCTTCTAGTCAAGGATAATTTCATATACTTGGATTAACCCTTTACTGTTTCTGTTTCACATCCAGACTGTTTGAATGTCTTGTGTCAGGTTGAGTGCTCTGCTCTGGCTTGTTCTGCTAAGGCATTATTTTTGAGCTTTAATTTTTTTTGTGCCTTGAGGTTCTTTGGTGTCCTTTCATTTGTTTCTGCTTTTAGTAACTCACCCTTTTTTCCTTTCTGTTTGTTTCCAGTGTTTGTTTCCTAAAGAACTTTCACGTATGTCCAGTATTTTGCATTCAAATGAATCAAAATCTTTGATTCTGCAGAATGTATTAGTCCCAGTCTAAGGCTGTAGTAAGTTTTATTAAAGCAAAATTAGACACTGATTTTTTTATGCAAATAGATGTTACTGCTTAAAATAGATGCAAATAGATGTTACTGCTTAAGTAGAAAAGTTTCAAGATATTTTAATGAATCTATTTACAAAAGTCTTCAGTGACTGAAAGCACTTTAGACAATACTGCTTTGATAGAATATTGTTCAAGTTCATGTTCTGTTTTAAAAAGGTATTTTGCTTTTGTGGCTTATAAATTTAATGATGTATCTTTTTGATTACAGGGAGAAGAAAATGAAAATTCAGGATATTAAGAACAATATTAAAGAAGCTATAGAGGTAAACTTATGTGCTACTGTTTTTTAACTATTCCAGGTGGCTATTTAGACATTCTCTGCAATATTTTACTTGTGTTTCTTTGCAGACAATAGTGACAGCAATGGGCAATTTGGCACCTCCAGTGGAACTAGCCAATCCAGAGAACCAGTTTCGAATCGACTACATCTTAAATTTAGCAAACCAGATAGACTTCGATTTCCCTCCGGTGAGTAATTCACAGTGGCTGCAGCCATGGCTTTTTGCAAATGATTATATTTCACTGCCCTGTAGTAAATATTTCCCCAGAACAGTGAGCTGCTCTCTGGGAATTACTGCAGTAGGTGCCTTTGGTGAGTGCTAATCGAATTTACAGCAGCACAGCCAGAATATTCCAGCTGATCCTTCAGAAACGTGGAGACCCTTGACTGCTTTTTGTGCTCTGGTGAAATAATTAGCCACAGAGTCAAGATGGACAGTGCTGGCCTAAAATTTGAGTATTGTTGGGAATTGCCCTGCCCAAAAGGAGTGGAGGTACACACAGCACTGTCTTGGTGATTAGCTGGCGTTTAATGAGGCTGCTTTCTCTCATCTGGAAGAGCAGTGGAGTTTTCTTGCTGGTCCAGACTCTGTGTCAGGCAGGCTCTCTGCAGAGGCCCTGCACACACATCCTTATCCCAGCCCTCCCAGTCCTGGTTAATCATTCAAAGTGCCAGCAGTCCCAGAGTAAATGCAGAAAGGATCATTATTTAGTTGATGATACAACTTTGTGCCCACTCACAGTGATTAATTTCTCCTGTATTTCAACCAGACTTGTAGCAGAAGCCCATGAGAACACAGTTTGCAAACACTAAACACTTAAACACTGAGAAAATATTTTTGCTAATTGCCATGAAGCACCTTTTACTTGCAGTAATGCAGGAGTATTTCAAAACTTGTATTTCTCTCTGTGCACTGCTCCAGGGGGCTGAGGGGAGGAATTATCATGATGTATCAAAAAATCATGATCCATTTACACCAGAATTTTGTGTCCAGCAGTCCCAAATGCTTGAAATTAAAGTGCAAGTTCAAATAGTAGTAAGATGTGGGATAGTTTGCACCACAGCAATTCTTAATTCAGTTTGTAATTCTTGATATGTAAACATGATTGAACAAGCTGGTCTCTGAGACCAACAACAGTTTCCTTTTCCAAATGTTGCTGCTCCTAGGAATTTCTCTGTTTTGGTCAGTCTTTATCAAAAGAAAAATAACCAAACAAGCAAACAAACCCACATTGTGTACAAGGCAGAAGTCAGGTGACATTAGCAGTTAATTGGAATATACTGCAGTGTTATCTTCAAGTATTTTTCAGTGTTGAACAGGCACAGACAGGTTGCTGCAGGGGGCATGTATGATTCTCTCTAGCCCATAAAACGTAGTCATTGTCATTTTGTCTTAAAGCATCTTAAATTTGTGATTTTAAGATTTTTAACTTCACAGCTCTTTAGACATTTGTCAGCATTACTTACAGAAATACTTGATCCCTTCATGGATGATCTCTCCTGCTGGGGGCACAGAAAAATTCCTGCTTTGAAGATAGTTTTAGGAGAATATTTGAGTGAGAAGACTGGTTCCTTGCACCACCCTCTGTGCTTCTGCACTGGCTGTGTGCCCACAGCTCTCCTACTGCCATTGTTTTGTGCTGGTTCAGGTTGTGATCTGTAACAATGCTGCAACAAATTCCTGTGACCTACCTCACACTGAAATACTTGATTTTCCTTGTGTCTTCTATCTCAGAGATTTTTTTTTTCTTCCATTCAACTGGAGTGCAGTGATTTCTTTTAATTTTTCCCTTTTTTTCACTGAAAGCAAGGAGCAGTTGTTTGACTTACAAGGTCTATGAATAATTCCAAGTTCAGTGAAGAGTCTTTGAGGTGTTGAATGACACACAATTATTCAGGAATAACAGTGCTCCAATAAAACTAGTTTTTCTTCTCTGGGCAAAGGTATTGTCTTAAATTTTTAAGCCCTGAGTCTACAGAGGTTTAGGTGTGTGCATAACTGACTGGTGGCTTACTTCATTGGCATGATTAACTATTTCATATGTAAATCTTCGTAGGGTTGAGGTTTTAAACTGGATATTCATTAGCCACAGATGTTGAAGGACTATTCTTGGCTCTCTTTGCCCTTGGTGATTATGTAAGTTAATATGCCTCTGATTTCTGAGTTTGTCTGAATGTAGGTTGCAGTCCTTTGGCACCTGGAAAACTGAACCTGCATTTTAATTGCATGATTTAAATCAAGTTAAGATCTAGAGTGTCCCTAGATGCCAGCTCTTAGAGCATAGTGACAAACCACAATCCTTGAGTACTGCTGTAAAAATAACATTTGATTTTGTTACAGATTAATTAAAAGTACTTTGAAGAAAGAAAAAAAATTATGGAAGTGTAAAGGACAGCCTTATGCTAGTTATGTTTTAGATGTAAGGAAATCTCGATCATCTGCTTCCTCCTCCAGTACACTGGGGGAAGAATTTCATAAACTGGCAGCTAAACCTTTTCCTATATAGAGTACTGATTGGGAAGGAGGGAGGGGAATTTTTAGCAGTGTCAGCCCTGTGTAATGCTGTCTAGTTTGAGCTGCAGAACTTGGTTTCTGCCTCTTGCATTTTCTTCATGGGAAATCACATTTCAGCTGTCTTGAGGACATGCTTTTCTCAGTGTAGTATTTGATGCTCTGCTCTGCCCTGGAAAGAGCATGAGGGTAGGGAGGAGGAACACTCATGTCCCAAGGGGATTTTCTTTGAGGGCTGCAAGTACTTAGAACTATACTCTTAAATACATGGCTGTTCTGCTTCCCTTTAAGTGCCCATTCTTCTTTTCCTAACCCTTAATTTAGGTAGCTCTCCTGAAGAGAATGCACTGACATAGAGGTCAGCACAAGGATTAGGATTTCTTCTGCAGCTACACAAGATCATCATCTTCATGAAGGAGCAGTTGAAATGCATTTTAAAGTAGAGGACAAAATCTGTGTTTATAATTCCCTGTGGAGCAGGTGGAGCTAGAATGCAGGTCTCCTAACAGCAAGGTTCAGTGCAATGTGAAAGGCAGAAGAAAGTCAGGAAGAATGTAGGAGCTTTACAGTGGGATGCTAATACTGGGATCTAGCTCTGCATGTAAATTAGGATTCAAAGAGCAACTATTGTATGCTGATATTCTAATTCTTTTCTTAGTCTGGGTCTCCATCTGTTTGCTTTGCAGCTTTTGACTTACAGGAAATGTGTGTCATTTGTGTAGACCATATTGTTTTGAATTAAAAAAAAACCTAAAAAACAACAGCTTGAGTTAAAAATAATGTTGGTACAGTGTAATGCTAGGTTAAACATCCCCCTTAAAGCTGAAAATTTACTGTGTTGGAGATTATTAATTCAGCACAGTTGGTATTAAGAAATTAAATTTTTGAATACAAGTAGTAGCATATGGAGAAAGGCAAAACATAGTACTGACTGAAAGGAATTCTGTCCACATGATAATGCTGGTGTTTTAAAATATTGCAATTTTTAGTAGATCAGATCTATAGTTGAGGCTTCCAAATAGTATTTCCATCATTATTGTCCTTTAATGCATTTAGCTTAACACAACTATGTGTGTGTTTTCAGTGTCAAAAATCAACCTCCAAAGTAGTTTTCAATAATTCAAACTAGCTGTATATCTGTCTCAAATGTCAGGTGATGTTAGGTTAGCTGGGTTATAAAAGTGATATTTTTATTCCTGTTCTGCATACCAGACAGTGGTTAGGATATTTTCTCCATCCCCAGTAATAGTGGCCTTCTTCTCATCCCTTTCTTTTTGCTCTTACTTTTAGAAGAGGGAAGGAAATGTTCCCATTTTATCAACATTTCACACTCCATGATCAACCAAATTGAACCAAGCTACCAAATAAAACCTATTTACTTTGGGTTACAGTCCATTTATAATTCTCTGGTTTTAATGAAATATTCAAAATAGCTGAGCAGGATCTACAGCTGCCTATTTTTAATTGATATGGACTCAGTTGAGGAAGATGTCTCTTGAAAATACCATACTAAATTCAGAAAAATGGTGTTCAGAAAGCAGTAGAATCAGAGTAATAGCTATTGAAAGGCAAAATATCAGAGGAATGACTATGGCTCTCCAGGTTGTGGATGTTGAGAAGAGATGCTGATGTTGTCTGCAGGTCTCTTGGTTTCAGTTTATTACACTGCTCCATTGTAGTTATTTTGAATCTCCCACTACCACTGCTGCTGAATGGTTTTATTATGGTTTCTGAGTGCTGTCCTTGAGCTTTACCACACTCTGGCTTCAGCCTCAAAGGCAGCTCAGCATCCCCTGTGCCCACAGCCAACCCTTCCCTCCGCTCCACACCGGGATGTGCCACCCGCACCGGGCCAAAAAAACCTCCTCTGGTCCCCAGTGTAAATCAGAGCATTGAACCAACCCAGGTTAAAAATAACCCTGGTAACCCTTACTCCTTCTCTCTTCTATTTTGGGGAGATTATTTTTAACAGGGATCAGTTTTGAGGTCTGATTTACAACCTGGCCCGTGGGCAGTGTGGTACAAAGGAGGTGGTGCCAAGTGTGATCCCTTAACCTGCAGCAGGGTCAGAACGAGGCTTTTGAGTCCTTAAAATGGTTTTGACACCAAAATCTTCAAGAAGGTAATGAGATAATAGAGTCTCAGTAAGAAAATATGTGAGCTGGGATCTCTTTGCTGCCAGAAATGTTCCTTGATTATGTAGGCAACAGAGCAAAATTATCTGTCCCTGTAGATAACCACCCTGATGGGTATAATGATAGATATATTATTATTCCTGTCTAAATACATCATGGGAGAAGAAGAGAGCTGATCTGGTTTGACAGCATCCCTAGCTTTATAAAGTAATGACAAACATAATCACTGCAGTGGGGGACATTTCCCATGGGGATATCTCAAATGCCACAGATTTTGGGGTGTGAAAGTAGGCAAAACATTTTCCTTGGTGAGGATACTCATGGGAAGCTGGGAAAGGTGAGAGACAGGGACAGTTTCTTGGGTGTCTGCACAGTATTGTGTATAGTTTGGATACTTAGCACAGAGAGAAAATTGGGGCCTCCAGCTTTTTCTTGTCCAAATTTTTTATGATCTTGAGCAAGACACCTCAAGTTCTATTTACCCTTTTTTAGTCTCCTCTATCTTATTATGTGTAAAAGACTGATGAATACATATCTTCAG